AATACAACCCCCCTGCTAATTCATGTCTATCATGTTTGCAGGCATGAGAACCTGGAATTAGACTCACCTGTTGTCAAAACACACATTTTACAGGCTTGAATTACACGTGAGACATGATTATGGACAAGAAGTTAAAAGAGCACTGAATAAAGGAAATTAAAAAAAGGGCTTTTAATCCTGTGCCTGGGTCCTGGTCTTGGTTTAATGTCTTGAAAACATTTTGTCAGTTCACTCTTCTAGTACTCAGCTTGACTTCTGGAATTCACACCACTCTTCATGGAGTGTTTCTGATAGTAAATGACCTTTAACATCTGTCAGCAAAAGCACTCAACGGGAGGCAATTAGGTGACCTGCACCTTTGTTTGTTTATTCTTCTATGGAAAGACTGAGTGACTTACAGGGTCCATTGTTTTGAAAGTGCTGTGTTACACGGAGCAGAGGAAAGATATCGTTTTGAGTTGAGGACTGTTTTTGACATGATGAGTTTGTATTGGCTACAGTAATGACTTCAGTTATGAAGTCTGCTTTTTCCTTCCACATTTTCTTTAATGCATACAATCCCACAATGAAAATTACAGATATACCATATATTCAGTTGCAAATTTTTGCATCATATCAGCAGAAAAAGATAGGCATTTAGTTTGTTTGAGACAAGATTACAAATGCTATCTGATTAATCAAAGTGTAAAGTAGTAGGTCCGGGATCTGTAGTTAATGGGTGATCAAGTGCAGTGATTTATGTTGGTGTTGCATCAACTTTCACCATCAAACTCAATTAGCGATTTTACTACAGTTTCCAGATTTCCTTTTACCAAAGAAATTGCCTGGACTCGGCGTGCAGCTATTGGTTTTACATTGTAACTGCTCCCTCTTTTAGTGGAGAGAAAAATCCAGGATTTTGAGGGAAATAATTCAATTTTATTTTATGCTTTGTGTATTGAATCGCTTATTTATACCTATAAATCTTTTGTGTTTCCTGTCCTGACATTGCTCGTGCACATCAGTTATGCACAGCCCTCAGTGACCTCTCCTAGCACACAGCCACTCCTAAATCAAAGCACAAACTAACAAGTCAATTAGCTTTCTTTTCCTGTTGACATAACAAATCAATTAACCCTCATTTCCCGTACATCTGAAGAATCCGTTAGCAATGGTTTCCTGTTTGTTTCCTGCAGGAACGTCGGACGCTTGCAGAGCAGCTGCCTTGTTTGTGGCAGACCACATGCACACATCAAACAGCTTCTAATAGCAGCCTTATCACAGCACATTAACCTCACATAAACATGCCATGAGCCCAAGGTCAGGGCAGGAGGGCAGCATGTGTGTGTGTGTGTGCCCACCCACACTTTTGTTGAAGACAGCCAGAAACGCACAATCATGGTAATGCTATCATGATACCAAACTACTGACTTGTGTCAACAACTTCTAACCTTAAAGTGTCTTTATGTGATGTGTGCATTAATCATATGATCTAAACATATACTGGAGCAACTAGAGATACGCCTGAGCACACATGAACTAGAGTGGCTCTCAGAACATCAAGTCCAAACATTTGTGCTGCAGAATAATCTACATCTTTTCATGTTTTATAGCTAGAAGTGTATTTCTTATGTGTTGCAATTACCTGTAGTTAAGCTAACAGTTTAAAGCCTCTATTTATAGGATTTGAATGTTCTTCTTTTGGGTGATATCAAAAATTACACTGAGGTAAAACAAACAATAAAACAATTTACACTTTTCTACAAAGAAATCAAGAAATATTACTGTAAAAAAAAATTTAAGGTAAGCATGAGCAGACTATCCTGCTTTGAGGTCTCTGGACCAAAACTGAGCTGTTGATCATATTTCCCTTCCCAATTTCTTTGATTATTTGTTCATCGAATACAGCTAAGTATCAAAACTTGAAATTGCTGTGCGGTGTCATATCATACAGCTATCGATACACAGTGAAGTCTATCAGAAGTTGGGTGAGTATTCCTATTGAAGCCCATATTTGTGTTAAATGATGGTTTGACCTATCATTAGGGCCTACAGTGGATGTCAGGATGTGACAACATTCTGTTGCCCTAACGTACCTTTAAGCTACATTTGAATCCTCCGGTGACAGTAAGCACTCAGCTGTGTGACCTCAAGTTAAACTACCATGGCTGGCCCCAGCTGGTTCGATAAGCACCTTCCTCTAAATGCCATGGGCTGCTCAGTAGTAAACTGCAGCAGCAAACACGTGGTCAATATGCTGAAATGTCCTTGTGGTTTTGTGTATATCGGACAAACAAAATGGCCAATGAAGATTTGCATATCTAAACACAGAACTGCAGTACGGACGGAAATATGGAATATGCAATGGCATGACATTAGGCACAGGCGAACCACGGCTCTGCTGCCTCAGTTCTGGGGGAATAGAAATAATGTGGCCCTATCCTAGAGGCGGTGATATAATGACTGCTTCACATAGAGGCGTATTAGATTTATACTTTCAACACATAATTTGTCATGTTTCCTGCTGTAATGCTTTATAAGTCAGAGGAACATGAGCATGCACTGTTTAAGCTTGATACCATGTAATTCAAAGTTATAAGTGTATTCTTGTTTTTCTGTTTTTAATATATGGTCTGGCAATCCTCACGCTTGTGTCTGTTATCCAATAGGTCTGAATTCCACTTCCATCTTCTACACAACAACAATTGTACACCTATCCCTAAAAAAATTGGATATACTGTAAGTTAATGCTGAACGTAGTATTCAAATATTCCCAGACAAAATATTTGTTTTCAAAATATCTGATCTTGCAGTACAACATCCACTAGTGACAACAGCATTATTTAACTTTTTATGGTTATGTTTAGTTCACTCACAGCATTTGGTTAAGGTTAGGGAAAGATCTCAGGCTGATTTAATACGGAGAAAGTCCACAGACACAACATTTTTATTTATATCGAACCAAAACCATGATCTTTCCCTAACCTTAACCAAAGTGCTTTTGTTGCCTAAACCTCATTCAATTAAAAAAAACAAAAAAAAAACATTGCCCCTGAACTTAATCCAGCCAGCGAGTACATTTGCCTACAAATTATATTTGCTGTTGGAGTTTAGCTATATAGAAATGTAATTTCTCAGACACAGGGTTGTTGCATCAGAGTCTTTTCCACACCATCCTCTGAACTAATGGTCCTTGAAAATGGCCTTGAATCCTGTCCTCATCTAAGCAAAGAGCAGATACTCAGCAGAATAGCCTTTATCTACATTGTATGTGCTGAAGCTGAACCACTAGCCAAACAGTCTTTACTGGCAAGTTAATAAATAGGAGTAACTTAAATGAATATTTAATCTATGAACATGGAAAATATAATACAAAACTGAAACAATAAAAGTCCTGGAACTAGATGTGGACCCTCATACAGACAGCATCTCAAAATTGGGAAAACACAGCAGAATCCACCTTCACGCCCATATTAAGTCAGTCGTCCTTAAGCAGTGCATTCTCCAAAACACATTTTCAATGAAACCAGTTTATGCTAATGCAAATCTCTCTTTACTTTGCAGCCAAGCATGAGCGTTCAGATCAGATTTAGATCTAGATAAATATTTTATTGTTGTCATGGTAATACTATTACAGTTATTTCATGCCATACGTGAAATGTGAAAGGCCTAAAGCACAATGCTGCATGTGGTCTATCTGTGTAGACAGCTTTGTGTATTTAAAACAGAAGTATTATTACCTTCATATGTATTTGAAATTATACTTGAAAACATTTGAAATAAGACATTTGGACATCATGGTGACAAAAAACATAAAAAAAAAAAAAAACGGAATATTTCATATGGTCTACAGCAAATCTATAGTAGTTAAATAAATTAATCAAATGGTCTCTATGTAAAATAATACACACATATTAACATGAATCCTTTCAGCAAACACATACAGCAAAGCGAGTGATAACACTGATACATACAGTATAGTACAATACAATCACCTGTCCCTTCCAAAAAGTTTATTTCAGTGAGACACATGATGTGGGCTATGGTGGTTAGTTCCTGATTTCTTTTCAAAAAATATACTGCATATCTATTTATATATTTATATAAACAACAACAAAACTTTTGATAATTTTCATTTTTTTTATAATTCTAAAATACATCTATAATATTTAGAAACAATATGTACAATTTTCCCCCTTTTATGCAACATTCTTCTAAAATGGAAGAATATATTAAGTTTCGAAGAGGAACACCTGTTTGTAAGGCCAGGGGGGTTAAGAGCTGATAGACTTTGTCTCTCTCTCTCTCTCTCTCTCTCTCTTCCTCATTCACGAACACCCAACCACACACACACACACACACACACACACACACACACACACACATATACACAAAGGACATATGGTTCCAGTTCTGCTCATTGAAGGTATTTGATATTCAGCAATGCTTTTAATGACGTCCTCGTGTCCTTTCACGGAACAGTCACTTGAGCGAGGGCTTTTTCTCTCAGAGGCCCTGAATGATGAATGATGAGTGTCTACTGTAACACTGTAATCCATAAGGGAGCTGATATGTTATATAATGTCCGTTAGATGTCTGATAATACTTCCTGCTTGAGATCTTTCACTTTTCTTCCATGCTGCGTTCCGTGCACTCACTCCTGCTGCGTATGTAAAATAACCGAAACCTTATGAACCCTTTATGGTCTAACAAACCTTGCAGTGTATGAACTTACATGCTCATCAAGGCCTCAATTTGTAAGAGACATGCTTTATTGACATGATTTACCATTCACAGACTTTATCTGACCTAACATCCGTGGAGTGTACTGTTACCTGACAGCTAGAGTAGATTTCATATCCTTTCTCCATGCTTTTTCATGAACAGTGAGAGAGTCACTGAACTCTTTGCAGCCTCCTCTAGCTCTCATGAGCTGATACATGAAACCCTGTAAGTGAGAGTTTTTACTCAAGAAGGTTGACTGTTTTCAGAGTCCAAAAAAAAAAAAAAAAAAAAATCTACTAAAGGAACACACTCCAGGTCTGTGGGATCGCTGTGAGCAATGTGCAGAGGAAGACAAGCAAAGACGATGAGGGCGAGGAGGAGGTGGGTGATGCTGACGGTAAGTGGTGGTGGTGGTTGTAGTGGCTGTGGACTCTGTCAGGTGGCTGCACTGTGATGTAACCATTGATAATGCGAACCAGCGGGGGAGGCGGGGACTGGACCATAGTGCTGTGGAGAGAAGACAAGAGAGTAAAGAAGAAAAATTAGTCTTTATTCACATTTATCTTTTAAAGGCCCCCACAGACCTGTTTTCTACATCAGCTTCTTACTGTAAATAATGAACACACAATTCTCTGCCAACATTCTGAGAGGAAAAGACTTCGAAAACAAAGTTTTCAGGGGCTTGAAGCTATCATGAGCCATTTGATGTAATTTTGAGCATTACACTACATTGATTGTAATTTTATTGCAAACATTAGCGCCCAGTTTGTAATTTAATGTTTCAAAAATGGGTGGGGAAAGTACAATCTGGCTCTGTGTAATTACTCAAAAACCTGCCCATATTCTGGAGTTACAGCAGCCGTCTTATTTCCAGACTAACTTCCTTCACTTTTCTTTTTAAAATATGCAGCACTACCTCTGCACTGCTGAGCCACTGTGCTGCTCTTTGGGATTGAAGGGAAAACCCTGTTGTAGTAGCTGCAGCGGAACAGGCCTCTCTACATTCCTATATTGTCCACAACTGCCTGAGAAAATATGCAGACTGCACAAAGTAAACAATGGAAATATTAATGATGATGAAAGCTAAAAAGGAACATTTCTGGACAGAGGAATCCACAGCACCGACCAATCAGTAGAGACTTTAAACCCCTGAGCGTGCAACTCATTGATCAGCCCATGGCTATAAACCAACCGCCTGCCTGTTTTTGCTTTCTTTATTTTTCTTCTTCTCTTCATATTACATATTCTGCCTGCCCATTTTCTGGCTGTCTCTATTTCTCTCTTTATCTGTCCTTTTCAAGTCTGGCAATTAAATCATTTCTGCTCTCCTGTTTGATGCCGAGCCTGCGGTGCTGGTGTGGTTTAGACTGGGACGAGGCCAGGCAAAACAAACACACAAGTTCCTGAAGTCAGGATCTCCAGATACCAGTGGGCTGCAACAGCAATTTGACACAGCGTTACAACACACAACATTAAAGAAAAGTGACTGCAAGACAGTGTTTCCATTTTATGGGATATGTTTTATTGGAAAAGATATTTTGACAAGCATTGTTAAGAAAAATGAAAACAAGCCTTTCATAATTTCAGAACAGAAACAGCCCTAAATTTCCATTATTATTCCTCATCCTGACTATGTCTGTCTGCAGACAATTGAGAGAATGCTTAGGGGGATCATTGTGGACAAATGATCTTCAGTGAGGATGGCCCACTGCAATCTCCTAAGCTGGAGAAGCTGGAAAAGCTTGCAGAGTTCAGTGCCAGTTAAAACACGATTGCTAAAACACTCAGAGCCAGTGATAAATGAGCGAACCAGCACATAACACAGAGATACCAGTGACAAGCTCTAAAGTTTCAGAGAAAGCCTCAGGTTAATTTTTAGTTTATGAAGCAAGTTTATTTAGGTTTGTGGGCCTGGAGAGGCCTAAGGAAACTGAGTGTGACACATCGCTCTGTGGCCACGCATCAAACACAACAGAGAACTGTGGCGCTGTAGTTGCTTCTGTTCCTTGGACCCCCCTCTCTCTTTCTCACTCGGCCACCTTTTCAGACATTAAAATATACAAAGACGTGCACCGTGTACACTTTGCAACATGTGTACACAAACAGTCTGTTTCCTCTCCGCTGGAAAATACAGGCTCTCTCAGAAAGAGAGAAAACATTTCTGCAGACATAATGTACACAAACGCTCACAAACCTCCTCTGTTCCCGTGAAGAACAGACGCTACATGGTTGGATTTTTATTTCCGTCACTAATTTGGAGTAGTCCACACTGTACATAAAAAAATGCATGTTCATACAGGGCTAAAAATCACTACATGCTTAAGGGCAGAGTCCTGCACTTGTGCAATTTTTCAAACCTGTACCTGCTGCTTAGCTCCAGTTATTTCTGATGATTTCCAAACCCAATCCATTACTCAAAGACTGGAGCAATTTATTATCACGATTTAGAAATCACTAGTATAATTTTAGACTATATGAAAATAAAAAGTGTGCAACACCAGACTTTAGTTTCTTTTTCTTTTTCGTTTATTTGCTCCTGTTTATTTCCAAAGCGCTCTGTCCACACCCAGTGGGCTTCAGGGTCATGGATCATTCACTGTATCAGAACTGATCAGCTGCCAACAACTTATAAGACGCTGGAGAAGGTTGAGCTCATAAACCGCACTCACCTGCTAATAGGATACATAAGTGCAAGTCGCCTGGACAGACTCTACCCGCTGGTCTATCAGGCTAATACATAGGCTACAGGCTACTGCAAAAAAAAAACACTTTGAAGTCTCTAGTTCTGACCTCCATGTCTGTGGACTGGTGGAGGAAAACACTGGACCCCAAGGAAACCCTTGCAAACATGAACACTCCTCCCAGAATGAAGTGTCAAACCCCGGCGCTCGTTACTGCGAGATGGCAGTGCTAACTACTAAGCTTTAATCTAGTATAAAGAGAATCTAATGCGTTCTGTGTAAAGAAGGAAAGATAAGAGAAAGAGCAGCAGGGAATCAAACCGCGCCACGTGGGAGGCACGGTTAATTTCAGACCATTTGGAATGGTAACCTCAGATTTCAAATACTGAGCTGAAATGACATGTCTAACAGTAGCCGTGGCTTTGAAATAGCCAGAGTTTATGTTCCTGTGTCAACAGTTCAAAACTCCATCTGGATAATGTTAATATTAGCCATAGTAAACAAGCGCTATGTTCTGCACAAATTAAGCAAATACAAGGAGTCTGGGGGGCTCGAAATGCAAACACATGCTCCTTCAGGAGAAAGACAAAAGAAACAGAAATGAGAAGTCACACAGATTAATTTGATTCATCTCTAACTAAAAAACTAAAACTTTTTCCATGTATTACTTAGCAGCTTTAGGAACATACAGCTACAGAGCACGTGATTATAGAGAAAATATGTAAAAGTTTCTACCTGATTAATATGAGCCGTCTCAGGTGATTCAAACCCAGATAATTATTTAAAGTTAACATAGTCACCGTGACTTTCAGGCTGATGAATGTGCCCTTAATTTAATGTCCCTCAACAATGAATGAGACAATGAGGTGTGACGTTAGCTTAGCTGAAGTTGTTTGAGCTGTAATATATACATTTATAATTATCAGTCTGTGAGGGCGTCGTCTTCTCCTTGGGGCCTGTTTATGTGAAGCTTGCATGTTCTCCTTCTGTTTGCGTGGGTTTCCCTCACGTGCTCCTCGTGTTTCCTCCCACAGTCAAAAGATGTGTGAGTTGGGTGAAATGGAAACTCTAATTTGCCCATAGGTGTGAATGAAGATGATTGTTTTTCCATATGTGTTGGCCCTTGGGTAGATTAGGCCTCTCGCCATTGCATGCTGAAATAGCCTATAACTCAAACTGAACAGAATAAGAGTATGTAGATGATGTATGTATGGATGGATGGATGGGCGGATGGATGGAGGGTCAAATTAAGTTTTTTGTTTCATGCCCAGATGTAAACTCATGTCAATGAAAATGTAAAATTTTGAAAAAAAATTAACAACATGGCAGGAGGGGATTCAACACAGCAGATCACACCTTGTGCAGAGGTCTTCTTTTTGTCTGAAAGGTGAGCTTGTTTTGCTGTCCTACTAGTCCCTGCCTGGAGCTACTGTGAGACCAAAACCGGATACTTAGTAGGAATTCCCAGGCTGCTATTTTCACATGCAAGACACTTACACCAGCTAGAAACTAGTTTGGACTTATACCATCCTGCAGGGTGTGTGTGTGTATATGTGTGTGTGTGTGTGTGTGTGTGTGTGTGTGTGTGTGTGTGTGTGTGTGTGTGTGTGTGTGTGTGTGTGTAGACTGCATGAAGAGTATGGTGATGTGATATGGTGGCTGTCTGAGCCTGCGGCACAGCACCGGTTTTATTCTAAAGACAAGACTGCATGACACGTTCCAATTTCCTCTCTGTTCTCACATCCTCTCTATCTCTCTTCCCTTTCACCATTACACTCTTCTCTTTCTTTTTGACTTCACCTCTGCTCTTTCATCTCATCTTTTCTACATTTTTCCTCATCACTTTATCAAAACAAAGGTCGTTGATGACAAATACACAGAGAAACATGACCCCATGGACCTGTCCTCTTACCTCTCCTCGATGCGAACCCAGAGGTCGTTAAAATGTCGGTGCCGCTGCTTCTTCTGCTTGTTCCTCCTCTTCTTCTTCAGCATTTTCCTCTCCGCTTTTTCCAGCAGCTCCAGACTATCTGGCGGCAGGAACATGTGGGGTAACAGATCCTCCTCCAGGGGACGCCCCTGATCCTCCTCTTTGTGGGGGAGCTCATGGAGGAAAGGCTCCAGGAGAGGGGACTCATCATAGTGGTCCTCAGACTCTGGTCTAGATGATGATCTCCTAGACAATAAACATCACAGAAACATTAGATACTTTTGAAATAAAGGAGAAGAGGCCTTTTGTCACAGCATATGCTGTTCAAATGTTAATATCATCCTTAATATCAACATATCTGTAATCAGATCTCTCTTTCTGACACAATATTATCTGAATCCTGGGCTAAAAATGACACTGAGGGCCAGAGATTCCTTAAAATGAGTTTTCTTGAATCTATAGAAATAAGGCTTCCAGCAGACTTGTGAGTTCAGTGTAGACTGTGGATTTCAGATTTTTCTTCTTTGCATTGAAAAAGGAGCATTTGTTTTTTTATATAGTGCCTCAACCTTGCCATTCGCTACAGCTATAAGAGCAAATATTAATACTTATTTTCCTCTGTTTCATTGTTGTGTGTCCTTGTCAGTGGGGTGAAATATGCACCAAAAGACTAACCACCCTACCTCACGATGAGGATTTTCATTCTGTATCCCACCTGAAGAGCTGTTAAAGGAATCCTCAACCAAAAATGCATCTTTCACAAATGGATAAATGTAAGAGAAATGGATTACGCAACAGGAGTGGTTTCAATGGATGTTTTGATTTTATTTTATTTTTTTGCTACGAGCTTTGGTTTCTTTTTTTCATTGTAACTATTGTGAATCCAAATAGTCTTTAGAGTATTTCTAGAGGAGAGGAGAGGAGAGGAGAGGAGAGGAGGGATTCTTGCTATGAACAGGATGCTGTGGATGTTCCAAGGACCAATATTCAGTCTAATAGAGAACATATCCAAGATTTTCTGGAAAAACAAATTAAAGGTCCAGAATGGGAAGTATAAGAGCAAAACCAAAACTCATCTGTTTGATTGAAAACACTTGCGCTTCTGATGAGCTGCTGGCCATCTCTAATGAGGCCAGTAACTATCTTTTACAATCACCGTGCATGAGGACACACACACATACATGCACAAACCCACATACCCTTTCAGACCAACAGACTGACCTAAACCCACACTGATCATAAAAACACCTGCAGCTCCACAGAATATATTTACTGCAGATATATTAAAACAAGATTTGGCATAATAAGTTTAGTACTGGTCCTAAAGCTGCAGACCCAGGTTTTGTGTGAATGTGGAATTCCAGGCATTAACCCACGGCAGCAGCCGGGTAAGAGTGGGTCAAATGCGTGCTCATCTCAGGCTCGTAATCCCACATCAAACACCGGGTTTGTGTGTGAAAGTCGATTCACTCATTCATTCCCTCACACACAGAGCAAGAACACTGATCTGCACTGAGATAGCCACCCGCACAGCGCTCCATGGTAGACTGCACTACATGCTTCACAGCAGGAGGTATGAGTCCTGCCTGGGTCGGCCTTTTCAACAACTCTTCACCGGTGGCCGGTGGGGATTTTGTCAGATTTATCTGCAGTACAATCTATTTGGTTTTTCTTAAATAGCAGAAGACGAGAAAATGCCAAAGAATGAGAGACATCAATGAATGCTTTTTTCTTTTGTTTTGTTTTTTTTTTTGTAGTTGTTGATACAATCGAAACAAGAGATCCCTGTTTGGAAATGCTGCACCTTATAGTGGCTGATGACAAGGTGATGTAGCATTATATTAATTTTACAAGAGGAAAATAAACTTCTGCTAGGTGATGTTTATTTAGTTGTGTATGTGTGACCTTGTATTTATAATTGTTATCATAATTTCTGTACAGTACTGGTGAAGGACTCCAACATATAGTCAGATCAAGCTTGATTCATAATAAAGGTTTGAGAGACACTGTTCAGTAGGTTGAGGGTGTTGGGTAAAATGTGTCATACAATGTAAAAGATACTTTTCATGGAATATTGCCTGAACAAACTAAAAATTGCACAAAGCAACTTTAATCTAATATTAATTTTAAAATATTATTTAAAATTATTATTAATGCTTTCGGATGGATTGATATTTCATACCAGCCAGTCACAGTTTATGTCTTAAAAAATAGCTTTCAGAAGATTGGACTGAAGCCTCTATACCTCTATCTAGATCTTTAACTACACTGAATAAAGCTATTAGACAAAATTATGCAGTGTCTCTCAGTTGTTATCAGTATTAAGCTAATGACAAGTCAGTAGAACAGTTGAAAGCTTAAAACTAATGGAGGTAATGGTTAAAAACAAGCTTTTTATTCCTAGAACACAGTGTCTACACAGAAGGTGCAGTGTGGGCCGTGCGTTAGCAGAGCAGCAGCACGTCAGGAGGTGTTCAGGCAGAGTAATGAGTGTAGGTCACCTGTGTTTTGGATGTGCTCAGAGTCCAATACAAAATCAGTGTGGTAAAAAAAAAAAAATAGACTTGAAGTGTAAAAATACATTTATGGGCGTGTAGCATGAGTAAAACTCAAGCTGTTAAGCAGCCTGTGTAGACAGTTGGATTGATTCAAATAGAAGTTTCTGACTATAAAACCACAGCTGAAACACTTTCTGTGTAGACATGCCGTAAGAATAACAATAGTGGCCCGGGCCTGGCTATTTATTTTCTTTTCTGTGATCACCAGCTTCCACACTAAAATGAGCCTCTTATGTGATTAGCAGATTAGTGGTTCATTGCCAGTATAGAAACAAAATAATTAACTCCCCAGTGTCAATGGAGCGGCTAAATTAATAAAACTATGACCAACTTCAAAATGAGACGATGAGACAAATACTCCTCTTTAGGGACATTTGGGGAGAGTGAGTTATTATTTGCAGACAACACATTTCTCACAGGGGCTGAGGCAGAACTTAAACATCTGTTTTGGGTCTGCAAATGAACACAGACCAACTAAGGAGTTGCGCTTACTTGGAAAATGATTTCCCATTTGAAATCCAGTCAGTGAAGAAGTTGAGAGAAATATATACTCCTGTCAGGGCCGTGAGGCAGCAGTTGCACTGTAAAATGTGGCCAGGACATGAAACCTTACACCCATTTAAGTGATAAAATATGGGCTTTTGACTTTAACAGACTTGTGTTTTCAGAAGAAACCGTGATGTGCAACAACTATGGAGAAACATAAGCTTTTCTTCCTTGTTCTCCATCCGTCATCTCTGTATTTCTCAGTTTCTCTGCTCCTTTCTTTCTCAGTCTCCTCGGTCTTCTCATGTCTCTAATATTCCTTCTGCTTCTGACCTAAAAATGAAATATTCTCAAACCAGCTCATAAAACTTTCTGAAACAAGAGTAAAGTCCTGACCAAAATGACTCCTTTATCTTTGACTGTGAAATACTTTACCTGACACGGTACGTGTCAACATAGATTTTTGGGAAATCAGTCAAAGAAGAAATTTGGTGAGTTGGATTTCTTTTTCTTTTTTTTTACTAATTTTATGATCAGAAAAAAACAAGTTGAGTGTTACAATTTTGTAAAATTAGAGGCTCATATAATATTAAGGGATTAGTTACATTTGCACAATGTATTTCCACAATAAATCACAAAATCCACTGTGTCAAATACATATCACTAGATGTGTGTGTGTGTGTGTGTGTGTGTGTGTGTGTGTGTGTGTGTGTGTGTGTGTGTGTGTGTGTGTGTGTGTATGAGTGTGAGTGTGTTTTAGCAGTAAATTTACCTGTTTATGGGCTGCCCAGCAGGGGTGTGCTCCACCTCGTATCCCTGGCGACGGAGCACATCAATGACTGTATTGTTGCCGAGAAAGTGACCTGCAACCAAAACAAAAAGAGAAGTGATGACCTCCACTTTTGAATGCTAATGACGAGTTTTATTGCAAGCAGATGGAAACAAGACATTTACCGTGACTCTAACTGCATTGTGTCATAAGAGACAATAAGAAAAGTATAACCAAGTTTCTGTATGTATGATTTTAATACAGAAATACATAAAAGTGATGGAGCCCACAGAACAGCTGTAGCACTAGCTCACAATGACACACACTCTGAAACACATACTGAGCTAAGGCAAGGGGAATAATTTCATATGGTTCATGTTGTTTTCTTGCTATGTTTGAAATACTGGTGTGCTGGCTGTTACTGGTTAGCCTAGCTTAGCATAAGCCCTGCTAATTGTCCAGAAGTAGTTACAGCATGTATCTCTCTTTGAACATACAATTTTCAACAAGATACAACATGTTAATTGAGATTTAGGGTTGTTTGTAAGTGTAATTTTGGTCGGAGCCAGGCTAACTGTTTTTATGCTAAAAGCTAAGCTAATCTCCTCATAGCTTTAGCACTCTATTTCACATGAGTTGCTTCAATCTTCTTGTGTAAGTCTTGGCAAGAAGGTGAATAAGCTTATTTCCTAAAACATCTATTTCTTTAACTTCACAGGACAATTTTAACACATATACATCATCATGCTTCTTCTTTCCTCTTCTCCTCTCTTTGTATGGATTAATCTTTATTCACCCCCGACCCCACCCCATATCGTACCTCCTTCCTCCCCTTCCATTTTCATCTCTCTATTCTCCCTCATCCTTATCTCTAACTTCCCCTTTTCTCTCTTTTCCTCTCTTTCTTGCTCTGACCCTCTCAGCTAGGTGAAGTGGGGGCATTGAGGCTTCAGGTTGCCATGTCAAGAGGTCTCCATTCTTCCCCTCACTCTGACAAAAGGGAGCAGGGGACCATTGTTTGGGCCTGCTCAGCCGTGGCACCACGGAGCTGTGTAAACAATGAGCCCCGGCACTTTAATCTGGCCCAGAGCCATCGATAGAGAGAGGTTGGCCTACATGCACTATGGGTGCCATGATGCTACTCCATCTCTAGAACTAATAAGTGTTGGCTAAAATGATGTGCCTGTATGTACCTGCAATGGAAAAGTACCAAGGGGTTGCTACTGCAAAGGGCAATGTCAACATTTATTAACTTTTTCTAAAGTTAATATTCTTGGTATATTCAAGTGAATTTCATCTGCTTAGCCACACTGAGAGGATCGATGTCCCACAACTATCAAGCTTGGTGGATATTTAACCTTGTATTGTGTTTACATAGAAAAATATGTTTTACCTTTTATCTGAGTTTGGGTGCTTTTATCCAATTTAGGTTCTCTAAATAATCTAAGAGCTCCCGTGAGAGAATGTCCACAGTTATATGCAAAAGAGACATGCCTTTATTTCTATTTTAAGCAGTAATCTTTATCAATACAGGTGGTCAGCTGAACGAGAAGCCAGCAGCCCTTAAACTCTCCATGGGGGTTGGAAAGGAGAGCGAGGCAGAGAGACAGAGACAGAGTTTTCCAGCCTGCTCACGTTTAGAAACAACTCAGCGTGATTTATGTGAGTTTACGTCAGGGGATTAAGGTGGGACAAATGGAGCTGTTCAGCACAATGCAGGGCCACAGAAGGGTGGGCGGACTTCGAAAACTTCAAAGGGACACACAACTACGCACACTGACACATGCACACACACATGCACACACACATGCAAACGCAGCACGCATACACACACACACACACACACACACACAAATACGTACGTATGTGCTAATTCTAATAGGAGGTAAAGCATCAATTCTAACATATCCCCAAGGGCTCCAGTGTGCTCTTGGGGACTGAGTGTGTGTTTGAAGAATTGAATAAAAGTAATGCTAATATTCTTGTGACTGATAAAGATATTTAAATCTTGTGGCACAGCACAAAAACTTTTTAAAAGGTCCTATTTCTTTGATCATTTTATTAAATGGAAATTTGCTTAACAAAGAAGAGGGATGAATTTAAGGCAAATACAACATTGCAAGCATCTCAATGAGCACCATTTTAATGGGCAGTGTTCCACCTTAACAAGAACATGTTTCATACATGGAAAAAAAGAGCAAAAAACTAAATTCAGACATCTTTGATTCAGAATGATTGATGCCCTGAAAAGACGTAGAAAGTGCAGGAACAGTAAGCAATGTTTCGGAAGGTCTGCATGTCCCTGAAACTGGGCCTCATGTATGATGTGGTCTTTGGCAACTGACATAACAGTGAGGCTTAAATACTGTGTGCCAGGTGATTTGTGACAACTGCTAATAATTGGTACCAAGCAATGTATCATTCTTAGTTTGTGTGAGACAGGAAGGAAAAAAAGAACAGACTGCATGTGCAGCTACAGAGAAGAAGAGGAAGTGTCCCTATCAATTGTAATAATAATAGAGTTTGTTAATTTGAAATGATTTGCACACTATTTGTGTGTCCCAATCCCCCCCCCCCCCCTTTTTGGAACTAATGTAAACTCTGGGGTAAAAGAGGGCATTTTCAGAGCTTTGGGACTCACACAGTGACTCACTACACAGTTAAATTACTTCCACATTTACTTTTCTACTTGAATAGTTCCATATTTTCTTCAAAACAAAGCACACATGATAACTGTAAAAATGCTGATGTTGTGGAGCTAACACATGAACATTATGGCATCCTCCTGCACTGTATTAAGTTTGGTTCTGCCACACTGGTTTCACAGATGTTTCCATTGCATGGCTTTGTTAAACATGTTGACTCACAGAATCACAATCAGTTTTTCTGGTTATTGGTTGTCTCACGGCAAATCAAAATGAAAACACTTTTTTGTACCCGGGCTCTAAACTCTTTGAAATTATGAGAATCATTTCTATAAATCGCTTCAATAATTTCATTCTAATCGTTTTGATCCTCAGGATATTGCAGTTTCCCACTTTAAGGCCCAAAACGTGTCGCTTTAGTGTGGCAGTGTGGTTCTCTATAAGAAGCAACAGCACTCACATTCACTTAGGCTGCAGCCGCATGTTCGAGCCCAACCCACAGTTTAAGAAGAACGCTTCTGGAGTGACACCTGTGACATCTGACATATATTTCCACAGATTATTTATTTAGGCCAATTTCATACATTTTAAATCTGTAAAATGGGCCAAAAATGTGCACACCAATGCACAATATGCTCACTGTATGCCTTTCCAGCAGCGCTGAGAGAGGGGAGATGGCAGAGATAAAGACCAGAGACACAAGTGAAAGCTCTCATTCACGGCCCTCTCCCTACATGCAGCAGCATCCATACGTGGGACCACTGGGTTGGAGGGTCACAGATTAGATCATGTCATGGTTATAAAAACTTACAGTTTTTATATGGTTACTGAACATTCCTATGATGTGGCAGCTTTTATAAAAGTCTACAACAGAGTCTAACGATGAATAAAATACAACACAAAAAACACTGGTCAAAAAACTTTGCCTTCAAAGCCTTCTTGTGACTCCACTTATAAATCCAACGGCTACAAAATATGTGTTTGAACTAATTTGCTTGGCCAAGTACATTTTGGACAAAACATAATTCCTGCCTTGATTATATTCAGTGGAAATTATTTTTCCAGTTGAGGAAGTGGAACGTTCTTGTATTCCAGATTAGATGTAGGGAGGAAGTGGGGGGAGGGGAGTGTGGGGCTATAAAGCATGACTTTTACACCAGAAATCAGGGTTCACATAAGGTTTGAGAAAGATTGTGGCTCTTTATTAGATTTTTAAAAAGTCAAAATCTTGTGCTTCAAGTCAGTGACATTTTCCAATATTTAGCCAAGACCACAGCCTTTCCCCAAACCTTGACCAAGTCTTTTATGTTAGCATAACATAAACGTTAAATCATTATTGATGCTTTGGTTGCCAGGGGTGGATATCGTAATGTTAACAACGAAATATGTTGACCGCAAACATTCTGCAGATACTCTACATTTAATACAAATGTCCCCTTGTCCCTGAGAAGAATGTAATCTGGCTACATTTTTTTCCCCCCACAAAAATGTATTTATTTATTTAAAGATGCTACTTTTGTATCTCATCTTGTAATTGATGATTCTTGCTTTGTTTTGTATAAATGTCTCTTACTATAGCGAGAAACCTTTCCCATACCTAGCTGCCACGCATGCATACTGTATCACTGCCTTGCCATGGGAAACATATTGTTTCAATTTGACAATATAAGCGCTGAATGTGAGGGACAGGTTGGAAAAAGTGGAGCTGTAAATTGGAAAGAAAATGAATGATATGTGTATCTTTCCTAAAACAGATTTGTCTTGATTTGACACAAAAGCTTTCTGCACACCTGCGACTCAGACAGAGGACCACAAGATGAGAACCACGGCGGTATTCGTCCTTAAAAGACATCCAGTCTCCACAATCAGCGGCTCAAATTATTAGAACATATGGTAAGCCTTAAACAACATTCTTTTTCCATACACATCAATATTTACATTACAACTTGTAACCAGGGCCCGAGCAGCAGTTCTCATAACATTACAGCATGTTGGATAAACAAACCCTACAGGCAGCACTGAGGCCATGCTGCCTCATATAGCCTTTTCTAGCTGTTTATGTACACATGTTCCCTGCTACAGTGAGCTCGCTCCAGCAGCCCATTATCACCACCACTGAGCACTAAATTAAGCTTTTCATTGAAAGAGATGACAACGTGGTGTCTGGTGCTGTCTTGAATCTTTAGCATGAAGTGTTTTAGCTTGTTGATGTCACCGAAGACTGGTTAGAATATAGCTGTGGTTTGTTAGGCTCTCTATTCTTGTGTAGCTGTTTGACACTACAGTCGTTTTAGGAAGATCAGTGGTGCATACCTTACAGTGCACACAGGCAGAGAGAGACCTAAGATGTTCAAACTATATGCTATAGTCAAAACTAAATAATAAGACAGAATTTTAGCTTCTGACATTTCTAGGACATTGGAAGTACCAACCAGCCAAAGATTTTACT